AGATAGATTTCCCTCAACGCTTCTTCCATTTATGAATCCAAATTGACGTATCAGTAGATTAAGTGTTTAATTATATCTTTTATTATTTTTTCGAATAGTTTTCATATTGTATTCGGAATAGAGATAAGTCTGTAACTGACAATATACTTTTTGTTTCCTGACATAAGGTTTTGGTGTAACAAACAACAATTTCCACTCTGTAGGGAATGTACCCTCTGTCAGGAATTTATCAAACAATATTTTCAGCATCTGTGAAACTATGAAGTTGCAATTTGTAATAAAATAGGAGAAATACCATCTACGCCCACGCTTTAATGAGTATCATGTTTATTCATATTTTCAAAACCTATCCTATACTGATATATCCAATGAGTTAATGTTGTAGGGGATTAAATCTATTGTACCCACAGATATTTAATTGGTTATCAGGTGGTTTACAAAAAGTAAAAAAATAGTAGGAAAAAGTATTAGCAATTGTTAAATCATCAGTAAGTTTTGACGGCAACTTGGGCAAACAAAAACTTTGGGCAATTCTCATGTATATTTTAATAAATATTTCCCGAAGTTATTTGGCTTAATTGTAATAAATTTTTCCAGATTATAATTATATGACCATAAATCTCTCCTTGCTAAAATTTTGCAAATTCACCTCAGGTTTATAAATAGTGAATAGCAAAGCGCAGAATTGCCGTAAGAAATAACTGTAGTTTCTTTGGTTTCACATCTCTGAGAAAAATACAATTTAAATCAACAGCCTTTTCACATCACCTCTTTCTTCCAGAAAAGAGCAACAGGTTTGTTTGTTTTTTTTTTGTTTTGTTTTTGTTTTTTCGCTCCACAGGATTGAAGCGGTTTCATCTCCACCCACCATGGAGGCCAACAAGGGAACACCCCACTAGTACCAGACTTGACATGCAAGTGCTAAGGGTCAATATGCATGTCTGAGTGAACGAGTGTGCGCACAGAGAAATATAGCTCAAAAGAGCCTTCAACATGGATTTTACGACACTCTATAGTACGAGAAGGAAGCATAATAAAACAAATATACAAATACATACAATTTTGAACTGTTAATATTCGGCATAGGATAACATTTACTTTAAAGCCATTAACATAAATGTCGAACTAACTTAAATGCTCTGTATGATCAATGCATTGTAGCCCCCAGAAAGGGAAACAGTGTATCTTTTCCCACATATCATCCTTGCTCTTTGTGAATCCATGCCATGTCATGTTATGTTATCATTCAGATTATAAGTACTGAAAATGGGGGGGGGTACACTGCAAAATGTTATAAAACCTTTCTCTTGGGGTTAATTGTATGTTCCAGGCACTAGTTAACATTAAAGATGGGCTTAACAGCTTTTCTTCAATAACTGTTAATGTAACAACGTAATAACACTTATTGATATCAGTTGAAAAATAACAAGCTCCTGATCAGCAACCTAACATAGCCGACTGCTAAGAGTTAAATCGCTTGTGGTGATTGCTAAGAGTTAAACCTGGCAAGACAAATAACATTGGCAGCACCATAATGTTGGTGCAACTTCGACACAGTGTTTGCATGCACAACTTCATCAAACACGTTTGGACAGAGAAACAGCTGATATGAGCGAGAGCGGATGAACTGCCAAGAAATAATAGTAATTGACACGATGAGTAGCAAATGTGTGTAAAACGTCACTAAAATAATAGTGATTTGGATTACGTTTGAAAATATTCTTTTGATTATGCAACTTGTGCATAGTCAAGTGGCGAGTGTCAAAAATGACAAGGAGAAACTGTATTTGCTTACCTACAGCTAAAGTGGTAATGACTATTGAATATCAAATATATAATGCCAGTTATTTTACCGTAACTCATTTTATATTTTCGAACTAAGGAAAATATTAGTGGATCTCACATCGGCAGCAATGGGAGAGAAAGAAGTTAACAGATATATTGGATGGACTTAATTTAAAGGACAAACTTCTTATTGTAGTGTATACAACAAAATATAAAAAGATTGTGGCACATATTGTGTAATAATGACGAATTATTTATCAACTCATCTATAATTTGAACACTTGCTAATCACGATTGATTAGCTGCAGGGAAACTCTTAACATAGCGAATGGATGCAGCAAAGGATTGTATTAGTTCAGATTTGGTCCAACAGATTGCAATGCTCTGCATTTCAACCAATAACAGCTAATAACAGGATAAACAAAATAACTTATTTCGTGCAACAGTTACAAAACAGTAACTGTTGAGAAAATAACAGTTTAGCAGTTAAGGGCACATCCCTAATTCAAATCCCAAGATTTCAACCTTCCAAGAGAGGAAGAAAAAAAGAAACACACACACACAACTCTCTAACTCTTTACCCCTAATTCCCTGTAATTTAAATCTGTTTTAAAGAGGATAAAGGGTCCAAACAATTTTGTACAAAACCTTTTCGCTTCAGTTTTAATCAAAATCTCTAAAAAATACTCAAAAGATTTTCAGGTTTTCATCCACCAGAGTGCAATTACAGGTATTGTTAATTATCAATAAATCTCCATTTCTCAAAAAATCTCTAGGCAAGAAAATGTTTCCTAAAAAATGGTGATTTGGACTTTGTTTTGATTAGTAAACTTCAATGTGGATTAAATATCGCTGTTCATCATCTACTTTAGAATAAGTTTCCCATTACTTGATAAATTCTTTCTTCAACTAGGCTTTGTATTTTGCATTCTGTAGGGATCTGAAAAGTGTTGCAGTTTTTAGGCATATTAGAGAGCTTTGAAACTACCTACCTGTTTTCTTTTCACGATATTTCAATTCTTCCTTGACTGTGTCAATTACTCGCATTTTAGGTTTTGGCTGCTTCTTGAAATCTTTATATGTGTTCTCACTCTCTGAAATGAAATATAACATTTTATTATTATAAAATTTATCTTCGACATATTACTAAAGAAATAAGGAATCATCCATAAATTACATAATGCTAAAGAGAGGGCGGGAGGGGGGCAGGGAAAGTGTTACGCAGCATTACATAGGGGTAGGAGGAGTTTTAATTATGCTTGATTTTAAAGTATTAATATTTAAAAAATGTTTTCAAACTTCCTAACTAGCATAGTATTAATTTACAACTATACATAATAATTTAATAAATTCATAGATATAGACAACACTGATTTCTAATGAATACAATGAATTAGAAGACAAGGATCATTTACGTAGCTTTTCCATTTGTTAATTGTAAGCATTAACTTAGTAACAACAAACAACAATGGCTAGAAAACAATAAACAAAAAAACTTATTAAACAATAACTTAAAAAACTTACACGCTCACAAAAAATTACTCTTATGAAATTTGCTTTACAGCTTTACCTCAATAACCATTATGTAATTGACAGGTTTTAGAATATTTAACGAATTATTGAACAGTGTGTGTTGTACATCAAGAGTTTTGATGATTGTTTGCAAGAGATGACCAGTATACCATTTATGATGATGATAATAATAATATTAATAGTTTTACTATTTTACATGACTTGCATACTGTTCGAGAGAGCTGGCCACAATTATTCAGGTTTTAGATTACAAAGTGTTTGAACACATGAAGGCACGTTTGAAAGGTAATCAACTATTACTTTCTTTAAGTCAAGGTCTCTGTAAAATGAGACTTAAATTTTGAATATTGGAAGCATTATCATGGTAATTTGGGCCCTTATAGTACCCTCGTGGACATTCTAAGAAAACATTTATTTGTTGTTTAATAGTGAATAAAAAATGTAAATACAATGAATGAAATAATGTCACTATATCGATAGTTTGGACAAAATGATGAGATATGTCTCATTTGTAGAATTTCAGAGTATCAAACCAATAAAATATTTAAAATTTTAATAAAATATTTCTTATAATTTCCATCGCTGACATCATCCACAAAAAGTGCATTTTAAATATGTAATGTGATTAATAACTCAAAAATTCTTAATGTACAAGACTTTTTTATTGAAGAATATAAAAAGTTCCTGCATCTAGAACAGATGCTTTACACTGCACAAACCTTTCAAAGGGACAAATTATTTTCTTTTCTTTTTTAGCTGTGCTTTCCTATTTGGTAGAGTTCCTGTGTCTCTCTAGGGAACGGTTTGACATTGAAATTATTATTATACCAATTTTGTTTTAGTATCAAAAGCCCACAGCAGTTACTCATCGTTGGATCACGTCCGACCTAGAGATAAATACATTCATAAGTTTGCTGATATTTCGTTGCACTTTATTAATTCATATGTTCGATATCACCTTTTTATAATAAAATGGAGACAAATAAAAACTTGATTACACATGCATGTCAGCAAATCCACAATTGCAGACGCTTCCAATCACTTGAAGACAACTCTAACAGCTTATTTCACCAACCCTAAACTATAGCTTTGATGGAGGTCAAACTACCAACAGCTCATTCATCGTCATATTCTCCTTTCACAAAGGTCGTTTTACATGAAGATCATCAAAATATTTGTCAAATTTTGATCAGTACAACCTGCCATCGATGAATTGACGACTCAAATTCCTATTGTGAATAAGAATGCATCAAACAAATTTTTCGTTCACGCCTTTGATGTGAAAGTGATGCATGATAACATGGAAGAGTATTTGAATTTTTTTTATTGGGTATTAAGAAACCATGTATGCAGAACAAGCCAATATTCCAAAATAATTGTTTTAATGAATTGGATGATGCTCAATTCGTAATTAGACACATAATGTCAAAAGCAATGTTCCTGAAGATTTTAGAAGAAATAGAACCACAACTGGAATGACCAGTGAAACAGAAATAAGCATTTAACACCCATGCAGCAGTGTTGACAGCATTTTGAGTGTATGCTACAAGGCATCACCTTGTGGTCAGTGATTGCAATGCAATTTTGCTATCCACAGTGCTCTTATGTAAATAAACTCTCTTGTAATTGCCTCACTATTGCTACAGTACATGGTTTTTGAACAAGGTACCCAACAGTAGCATGGTGGAAAGAGACTACCATGAGCAGAAGTGCACGACATTTTTTAGAGGGTTTTTGTTCTTGTTGTTTTTTGTGCTTTTTTTTTTTTTTTTTTTTTCATAATATTCAATTTCAGTTATGCATTTTTCTCACTTGTACATTCCTCTTTCCCCTCACAAGTATAAGTAAAGTTTTACTGTATTAATTATAGAGGAAGTTATTTAAACTAAAACACTCCAAAAATGTATATCTGAATAGAAAGGTTGTAAATATTTTGACTACACCAGCGAGTTGAAAGTAACTTTTCCCTTAACCAGTTACCTGCCATTACCTTAGTTAAAAATTTACAATATTCACATGAGGCCTTTCCAAAATTAGTGGGTTGCCTTATATTTTGGTAAAGATTATAACTTTTGTAACAGATTTACATCAACACAAATAGTTTGTAAAGAGTCTCCACATTTAGTAGCACAGTCGGAATATAAGCATTTAAAAAATATTTAAAAAATCAAAAAAACAACTTGTGAGATCTTGTTGGGTGGGGTTATTTTTGACGTTTATTCACTTTTGTGGGGGAATGTTACTTTTTAAGCTTAGTTTGTATAAAATACTGATTTACATCATCTGAACAAATTAAAATACATTCAGCACTGCCAAAATAGCACACCTAAGGATTAACCTCCTCCCCAGTTTGAAGATTTCAAACACATATAATAATTATCTACTTGGCTGTCCAGGAGACATTAAGGAGTTTTAGCACCAGGCATAAGGAGATCTCCTTGAACACTATTGATCACATGACTAATGCCTTAGTAGTCGTAATCAACAACTTTCAGAAGAGTTTTAGCAATTGCAACAATGTATTATGCAGTATAACAAAGGAAGTATTTCAAGCGTTGAACAGAGAAATTGCATAATATATCAAAGAGGCTAGTGGTGAGACATATAGGCCAGTGGTGAGACATTTAAAGCATGTTACGAGTGAACAGAACAACAAATATATATATCGTGCATGGAGTTTTAGATTTTGTGGCCCTCCGGGATGAGTATGCAGTCTGCTTTTCTTGAAAACAAAGGAAATACTTTAAAACAGCATTTGTAAGTCACTGCCAAAATGCCAACCTATCGCTAAGATATGATTTGAAATCCTTATTCGAGAATTTCTTTCCTGTCACCTCTCCAATATATCCTGTTAATTCTTGCCAGCATTGTGGAGTTGGTAAGGAATAATTGTAACTGCCTCACATACGAGAATCTGTTTACCAGAGTTGGAAAAATTCAACTTTTCCTGTTTTTAGGCGGCCATTTTGCCGCTTGTAAGGTGACCGTAGAGGCTCTTACAGGCGTGCACTATTTATGAAGGTATAAGGTCGAACCTTAGGCCTAAGGTAAGACGTTATGATTTTAAAGTCCATCACGTGACAGTTTGTGCATACCGCAGCTACCTTACCCGTGGCGCTAAAACTCCCTATTGCGTCCTAGGCACAGGTGCCAACGTTTTGGCCTCCATTCTGTGACCTTCCTTAGGGCAAAATGCAAGTCTGCATTTAAGTTTTATTTCTTACTTGAGTTGTATTTCAATATGTGTGATTGTTGTAATGTAATTGGAAAAGTCAATACTAGTGAATGAAGTTTGCATGTTATTGTCAGTTTACATTATTTTGTTCTTGTGTTCTTTTTGTACTTATTAATATGCATTTGTTATGATTCAATTTTGGTTTTCAATAAATAATCTGATAAAATTGTATCTTTGTTTTATTATAATAAATTATAAGAATTTTAATAATCCCGTAATTTTCTTTTAAATGTTTTAAAAAACAATTAAATGATTTTTTAATTTTTCAAGTCTTTTCACAAAAAACAGGTGTGTTTTTTTCCCTAGGGAAAATGAATTCTGTTCAGTAAACTTGCCCAGATGGAAAATTAGAAAACTACATAATTTGCAT